CTTCCTTCTCTTTCTAAACTACATTTAATGTAACTTATTCTCTGTAATAGCACAAAAAAAAAGTGGATTTTTTAATGTTTTTTTACATTTTCAATGCGACTGTATTTCCATTGAGCATTCCAAGCTTGCTATTCAGGAAATCTGTGAAGGTGTTATTTGAAAAAAAACAGACAAACAGCTGAATTATACCAGATAAGGAAGATCAATCAAGAGCGTAACAAAGCAATGTTGTCTAAAAGCAAGCTACGTACCACCTTGCATAATGGTAAAAAGAATTTAAAACTCCTCAGAATTCAGTACGGCTAAGGAACAGAAAACTGAAAACTCTTTGGCAATCCTTTAAATAAATTGAACCTTGCACAATAAAAACCCCAGACATCTGAAAACTCGGTAAGCCTAAGCAGTTAAAACATCATCCAATGTAAGGGAAGCACTGACAACAGTAAATAAGTGTAGGAAATATTGGCAGCATATAATTTCAATTCTTCAAAATTCCTTTGGGCAACATTGTACAAAACTGAAAACTCTTTGGCAATCCTTTAAATAAATTGAACCTTGCACAATAAAAACCCCAGACATCTGAAAACTCGGTAAGCCTAAGCAGTTAAAACATCATCCAATGTAAGGGAAGCACTGACAACAGTAAATAAGTGTAGGAAATATTGGCAGCATATAATTTCAATTCTTCAAAATTCCTTTGGGCAACATTGTACAGCCACCTGTAGGATGAAGCATCATTCTGCAGGACTACAAATGGGAGACTTCGACCTTGGATAAAATATCATGTGATGTAGTAATGATCAGACAGTCTATGCAATAAATGAGAAATTAATTACAGCTTTGAAATAAGTTTTAGTATTTATAAAGTTTATTTTTCAAGTTGAAACAAAATCCTATTAGCTTCTAGGCCTGGAAGATAACAGCAACAGAGACTGTGATTGTGTACACACACCGCCTTTCAAAATGAATGCGTTTTTCTGAGTAAAACAGCTAAGCCCTTATGAGCCAAGGAAGACTGACAACCGAGGAAGGAGAGGCAACATCAGCAAGTATCGCTTCTGTGTATTATAAAGCACACACTTTTCTCCTGGTGCTAGTAAACACAGAAAATAGGTTTTCTGACAGCAGTGTGACTGCTCCTTTTCCAAGTCATCAGTATGCCTCCTCCAGAGCCAACCAAGACACTACACTGTTTGTAAGAAAAAACAGATAGATTGTTATATATATTTTCCCAAGTACAGCAACTTGACAAATCTGAAAGAAGAAAACAGATGCAATATCTCATTTCCCTGCACAGTACAAAACATCATCAATATTGATACTGTTTAAAAAATTCTGAGCATGGATACACCTAGGCAAGACAAGATGATGACACAACATACAAAAGACACTCCAATACAAAACCGGGAAATCCACTCTGGTCATGGATGAATTAAAGTTCTCCAGCATTCAGGAAGAAAGAAGAAAAGCTGTGATTCATGTTGCCCTGCAGCTCTGACATTCAAAATGCACCCAGCTATTCCTTGATATTATGAAAGCGTCACCTCATAAAACCAAAAAATACAGCTTAAATCATCGTTCGAGAGAAAAAGTAATTTCAGTCAAAAATACCTATCACATATTAAATATTTATTGAGTGGCATCTACTGTTATACGTAATTTATATTGTTCCCATATGACAAGGTTGAAGACTTAAAACACTGAGGACTGGTAACCATTTACACAGCTGCTGGCACCTTTGGCCCAATGGAATTGATAAAATATTAAGAGCTGAACATTTTTTTCCCCAGCATAACAAAGCATTTGCTAACGTCCCTGACTGAGGACTAAATAGACACCCCAGGAGGCAAGGAAATTATCACTGGGTGAGCAAAATATCTCACAAATAATTAAGAGTAAAGAAAGAAAATGATTCTTTATTTTCCAGTCTTTTAATATTCAACACATTTTTACTATATTCGGAATAAAGCATGTATAATTGTGATTTAAAATAGATGTGTTGCTTATTTATTCAGATCAAAATTAAAAAACACAAATTAATTGAGTTTCTAAACCCTTACTTTGTAAATGACTACCATTCACACACAGAATGCATCCTGTTGATAGAAGCATTATAATAAATGCAGCGGACAGTAGCTGCGATCAGCTATAATTTTTTTTTCTTTAATACTTGCTGCAAATTAGCTTTTATCTTCAGACACAATTTACTAAAAATCCTGAATCTTAATCAGGTGTCTGGGGTAACTGCTAAACTTTAATCATTTGGCTTAAACTTTAATTCCAGATTCAAAAGCTTCTGCAAGGAAGCCTCCAAATGCCAAACTGTGCCCTTTTGCCCCAAACAAAAATCACAGAAACCTCATCAACAATAGATCTTTATTACTCTGTTCTCCCACAGTGAGAGAAAGAGAAGAAAAAGGCCAGAAAGAAGTAGCCAAATTGTCCCTTTTTCACCCTCGACTGCATAGGAAGGATGTTTCTAAAGGAGGACAGACCTCTTTTGAAATAAATTGAAGGTCTGTAAGCTATTATAAGGCAGGGAAATCATTAGGTTTGAGCCATGATTTGATTCACTTTCATTTGTGCAACATAATTTTAAGTAGCAGTGAATCCATAAGTCAAATGACAAGAGCAAGAAAGGTCACTGTCTCTATTAAAAAAACACTAATTCAGAAAATTTATGAAAACCTCGAAGTACAGTTTAAGAAAGCTGAATGTACTGAATGCATCTTAACTTGTACTATCCTTGAACAGAAAAGTGTACACAGACTCCCTCAGTATTTAAGATGCGTTCATAAACTGTGAAAAATAAAGCAAGCCAAGTATTATCCACAAAGCAGCACTCCTGTTAATATAAATGGCTACTGGGGGAAGGGGGGGGGGAAGTTTTCTTCTTTAGAAGCCACTACATCAAATGGGCTTATTTGAAGAGTAGAAACTCAGAAAATAATTCTGAGCCAGTACATAAGAAAACACTTTCTTGAGTCAAAGTTAAAATAAGGGCATTATATTATGTATTTAAATGATGGGCTCTTTGAATTCAGCTCTGACTCAACAGTCAGAAATATCCTGATATAGTAAATTCATTAACACTTCTGTGAGAGATACAAGAGCTATTGTAAAATCTCATCCCTTCCGCACTGATGTATTAATTTTGCTGTATTAACCGATAGGGAGGCATCTCCAAGCTCACAGCTACGCTATGTTCTGGTAGTTCAGGAACAAAAGCTTCATGTAAAGTATTTATTTGAGCTGTAGACTTAATCTTCGTCATATACAACTGCCCATGATAAAGAACACCTCTAAGACAAATAGGATTGCTTTAAAAGTATTTCTTTAAATGCATTTCTTTAAATGCACGCGCAAAAATGGAATCACACAAGTTTACTTTCTTAACCAACAGCATACCGAATTAAATTAAAAAAGAAAATAAGCCCAAAAGACTTTTCTAACATTGCTTGACCAATCTACCAGTAGAGTGAAACATATGCTGCTACTGGCCCAGCGCATACTAAAGAATACACGTAATTAGTACACTGCCCTTTTAATGAACAGAACCTCTTGGAAGAGTTTAATTTCTGTTACACTTTCCAATGCAAAACCTCAATTCTTTTATTTAAATATTGAACAGTTAGCTGCTGCCACACAGTCCTGAGAATACACTGCGCAGACACTTTCAGTAAAACATAACAGTATGCTGGGGCTAAGTAAATTTTCCAGATGTCTATATTTAAATTATGCAAAAACGCGTAATACCAAATTAAAGAAATTATGGGTAAAAATGTGCAACGGCAAAAGTCTTTGCATTAATATTTAACCAGACTATTCTAGAGAAGATTCTTATGCTAACAGGTACTTTGGGTGCATTTGATTTCATTGAAAATACGCTATTATATCCCGAGTTCACAAAAATGTCTGAAGATACTCAGTGGCCCAGCACTAACATTAAGCTCTCTATAAAACATATAGATGTAAACTGTACAACAAGGAAAGTTCTTAATTCTTAATTGGTTTTCCTCCAGTTATGTATTCAGTACACTTTGCATTCCCTTTAAATCACTGGAAACAAACGTTTCATACCTACGGAAAAAAAATATTCCATACTGCTCAGAATTCAAAGGCACCTGAAAATGTTGATTTCCAAACCCAGCAGATACATGGGATGAAAGAGGCTATACAAACAGAGAGAGCAATAAATATGGATGAAGCAGCCTCAGCTGGTCACTCCATAATCAAGGTGGATGAAAACCCCAGGACTTCACTCACTGAAGTCAGAAATTTATATATTCTCCATCCCAGAATGGCAAAAGATCGGTGACTTAAAATTACAGTTCCATCGCAGAGGTTTTGGACAAATCCAGGAAGCTGAGGGTTGTACTACTGAATCACAACAAAAAAGATACGCCTATACCAGGCCAACCCAGTTCATCTATGTGTGCTCTAAGAGGGCTACACTACTTGTGTTTCCAGAGTTAACCCTTTCAAAAAAGACAAAACGAGGCGTAACTGCAGGGCAGGACTATGATGAATGTGTACAAAACCCAAGCGGAAGAATTCCCAAATAAGCAGTGCTCCCTTGCTGTTTCTTATACGAGGGAGTAGAAAAGAAAGGAGTTCAAAACCAAAAAGCAACCCCTTGTCAAACTGAAGGACACTGCGGACATCAATAACTTACATAGATGCAAGAAATGAACTGGAAAAAATGGTGAGAAAAGGCAAGAAGGTACTTCTGGACAAAGGCACAGGGTATCCATCACCTGTGTTTCCATAACTTCAAGAACCGCAGACACAGAAAGCATGGGAAGTTTTCTGGGGAAGGATTGCTATCTGCTTGCCCTGTTTTATATTCCAAAATCAAGTACTGTTGAATAAATCCTACTTCACCTATGGGGGTATTTAATCTGAGCCCGTATAATTTTTCTTTAACAACGGCACAAAGGACAAGAATGTTTGAAGATTG